CAACATCTTGAATGGGCCATGTGTAGCGTAGTCCAAACGAGTACAAGAACGATGGCAACACAACGGTTTTTAATAAGTCTCATAAAAGCCCGCAACATTAACGACATCCGGGAAGCCCTTTCATTCTACTGCGCATGCCCGAAGGGCCTATGACATCACAGCATCGTTACACCATGCCCTGAGCGACCAGAAGGACTGACGGAAGTAAGCCCTAACCTTAAGATAAACCGTCTACTTTTCACAGCCGTAAAACTGACTTGTTAAACACTTACAGTTTTCATTTCAGAGACATTTCTTCGCATCTACTTTGCACTTCTTCTTCTTTCCCGCCTTCTTTTTCTTTTTCCCTATCTTTTACGTCCCTCTCTTTTTTTCTTTCTTCAGCACCTCTTTCAACTGCTCATCCGTTTTTTTCGTCCCTTTGTCTTACCCTTTCAGGGCTGAATTTATCTCGGATCAGCTGAACGAGAATATCAAGCCATGACTCATTAGACATAGCTGTTAGGGTTACCCCTGCTCTTTTTAATTTCCGTAAGCCTATTTTATTTTCATCCATGTAAATGTTATACAGTTGTGAAAATCGTATTAACAAATTCATCTTGGCTTTGTGTTCCTCGCGGAATTCCGTCAACTTAACTGCGCAGTCGTAACACGGCGAGTAGTTGATAGTTAGAGTAATGGTGAGATCCTGACTGTCTTCTCCTAGAACTTCCTTAAAATAAGGATCTTCAAGCATCTTACATTCTGCGTGACGGCCTCTGCTGTTTTCATAAACTTTGTCAAAAATAATTTCCTCTTTCTTGTCTTTGATGACAACTATTAGCCACGTGTGGCCAGGCCACTCGTCCTTTACTCCAGTGAACAGTAATCCTTCAATAACTTTCTTCTTGTCTACAAAATGATATTTTAAAAAAAAGCTAAATTTGGTACGTTAATAAAACATGAGCAATTAATAATTTATTATTAATAATTAATAATTAATTAATAAAATTAATTAATAATTTATTATTTATTATTTTATTAATAGAAAAAACCAAGGTCGTGAGACGACTGAAATTTTAATTCAAGAATTGTTTGTTTCGCCAGGGTATGGGACCATTAGATTGACAAAAAGTGAGGGAGGTTTGTTTCATTTTTTTAAGAATGAAGCAAGTTATTGACTCTGTCCAATTATTTCCTGTTGTCTGCTTGACTTTGGTTATTTTCATAAACGAGGGGACGCGCAAGACAGAAACATTCCCAATTAGTTTCGTCATGTTCTGGAGTTCTTGATGATTCTACCAAATCAAAGCAATTACGGCTTTTTTGACGGGGTTTTATCCAAAGTTTGTATTTGCTACCACCGACACTTTATCCAAGCTACACTTAATACCAAGAGTTAAGGATAGATTGATAAAAAACTACTGTCTTTTTATTTCTGTTTGTGGTCATGTTTTGGTGGAATTTGGTTGGGTCTCGCTCGAATTTAGACAAGTTTGGTTTGTTTGTTATCCTTCTTCAATATATCGCGTTTTTTGTTATCTGCGACTCGTAAAACACCTTGTTAGTGACACGCCTAAAGCAATGTCTCGCTTCGAATTGTTTCCAGTGGTTGTAAGTACGTGTGATGCATGATCCTCGCAATAGAGAGCGCTATTTATGCAAAAGCGAAAGTCAGACCTTTTTCAGATTTTCAGAAAGTTTGATTTTTTTTCAGGTCTGACTTTCAGAGGTGATCATGAACGAAGGCCAAGAAAGAGGAGAGGCGAGGATGGGTGATTGAGTAATTTAATATTTTGCGTTTCCCTTAGCCCTTTCACACCGATACTATCACTCCAAATCAAACATGGCCGGTCGAAAAACGATTGCGAGTTTCTTAGCGATAAGTTGCTCGAATGAGCTTGCACTGCAGACTAGTTTTACCCCAAAAATAGAGCACTTACCTATGAAGTCTATCACAGACTTTGCCTCTGCCTTCTTCTTTTGCAGATCTTCGTTAATTTTTTTATTGCGACACCTCTCCTTAATTCCTATATCGTAGAAAGAAATGGCTCTCTTGAAGTTGTAGTCCCGAAATTCTTTGTTACCTTGATCCAAACACTTCTTAGCCCTTTCTATGGCTTTCTCTGCGGCACTCTCTATAAATTCCAAAACAGAAACTAATTCAGTATGCATCTGTCTATCTTCTCACTAAAGTGGAATTTAAAAACCCTGCACGCCTTTAGGAGGGTTGCAATGGGGTGATGGCTTTTACTTCTAACGGTTAATATCATTCCATCGTTGTCACCATAAAATTTTTTACGGTTAGCTTTTTTTTATGACTATCGGTCAAATTTGTCAATTTCTATGGTTTAAAGCTAGTTTTTGTTTTTGGCCGTTTTATTGCCGAGAACCACCTTCGATGCTGAATATGATTAACGAAAATAAAACTTGATCTCTAAGGAGGTTAAGGCTAATCTGATTAATATATGTTATGGCAAAACATTTTTCTTGCACACTATGTATTATCTACAAACATCATACAACAACTGCTTGATAAACCAAGGGTGAGGTGGTTTCAGGAAAATCGCAAACTGAGGCCTTGTCGTACCTCAGCTGAAGTACATACAAAAAAGACAGAATAGATCAAACTCG